TGCACTTTAATCCTTGCCTCAAGGTCAGCTTCTGGAGGAACCCAAACTAAGAAAGAAATATATTGTCTTTTCTAAAAGATTTTATTATTTATTTATTTATTTATTTATTTGTGGGAGAGGCAGGAAGAGAGAGAGAGTGCAAGTGGGAGATGAGCAGAGGGGGAGGGAGAGGGAAAGAATCCCAAGCGGACTTGTCGCTGAGCGGGGAGCCTGATGTGGGGTTCCGGACTCTATCTCAGGACCCATGAGATCACGACCTGAGCCGAAACCAAGAGTCAGGCGCTTAACTGACTGAGCCACCCAGGCACCCCAGAAAGAAGTCTATTTTCATCCCTTGCCTGTATAAACCTGTAAAGATCTATCTTCCACTACTTAATAACAAATTACTCTTTCACGAAGTGTTGGAAAACTCCACAGAACTTCAAGTTTATCATTTGCTGACCACCTACCAAATGCCAGGTTTGGGGTAGGTGCTTTTATTTTGTTTAATCCTCCCGTCCAAGCATATGGATTTTAGTAATGTGATTTGTTTGTGTGTCTTATCTACTGTACCAAATTATATAAATGTACATAAAGTTTTATCTACAAATTTAGTTATTGCCAGATACTTGGTCGAACCACCAGTACAATGTTGAGTAGGAGTGGTGAAAGCAGACATCTTTGCCTTGTTCCAAAAGTTAGGGAAGTATCTTCATTTTTATTTTTATTTTTATTTTTTTTAAAGATTTTATTTATTTATTTGAGAGAGAATGAGAGATAGAGAGCACGAGAGGGAAGAGGGTCAGAGGGAGAAGCAGACTCCCCGCTGAGCAGGGAGCCCGACATGGGACTCGATCCTGGGACTCCAGGATCATGACCCGAGCTGAAGGCAGTTGCTTAACCAACTGAGCCACCCAGGCGCCCAGTATCTTCATTTTTAAATCAAGAAATATTATTTCTATTTTAGCTGTGTTTTACGTTGAAACATTGTCCTACTGCTTACTTGTGACAAGTACCAAAGGTTTTTCATGTGCTGTAAATAGACTTAAATAATGAGTTATTGATCATCGATTTGTATTAATTTTAGGGTTATTTCTTAGTGCCTATATTTGAGTTATATATAAAGCTTAAATGAGTTCATATTTAATTTAAAGGATATAAGAGAAGAAATTAAAATATATCTTTATTGATTAAAATAAATTAAAATTAAAATATATCTTTTATTATTGATTGGCTGGTTACATAGCTTAACTTTTTTTTTTTTTTTAAAGATTTTATTTACTTGACAGTGAGAGACACAGCGAGAGAGGGAACACAAGCGGGGGGGTTGGGAGAGGGAGAAGCAGGCTTCCTGTGGAGCCGGGAGCCGATGCGGGGCTCGATCCCAGGACCCTGGGATCAGGGCCTGAGCCTAAGGCAGACGCTTAACGAGTGAGCCACCCAGGCGCCCTACATAGCTTAACTTTTAAACCCGTTACTAATTTTCTAGTGTCAGGCAGCCCTGGCTATACAATTTTGGAAAAATTTCCAGGTGTCAATTCGCCCTTTAGTCCTAATTATTTATGCTTGTATTTGTCTTTAACAAGAGTATAAAAACACTGATCATGTAAATATGTTGTGAAAACTGAGATTTCACAGGAAAATATTTACACAGCCTTTAAAATCCTTAAGGAGATGATGTTATGTAAATTTGAATGCTACTGTAGTCTATGATTATAATTCCCTTAGAAATTTCTGGAAATTAAGCCTAGAAATAAATAAAATAAAATAAAATAAAATAAAATGCTGAAACATAGACAAAATAATTTCCAGGGCTTCTGGGTGACCTATTGAAAATAGGAGGCAGTTGACATTACAAAGTGGGCGAGTTAACAGACACAGAAACACATGCCTTCAGTGTTTTATCCCAAATATATTTTTCTTGACCTTAATTAGGAGTGAACAAAGGGTCCATGAAATTCTAGTTTTATTACTTAAATCAGAGGATCCAAGTCATTAAAACTTGTTCAAGTCAGGCTCTACTTCAAGAAAAATAAAGTACTTTCAAAAATGTACATATATTTGACATTGTGTATACCAAGCTTCAAACTAAGTGCAGGACCTGGATCTTAAATTATTTCAGAAAGGACTAGTTATTGTTCAATCAGAACTTAACAAAAATTAAGAAATTAGCTGAATTTTTAAGAAGTTTACCTGATGTATGTACTAGTTTACCTGATATACTTCTTCTGATCAGGTAAACTTTGATAAAATAGGTGAAGCCTGAATGTTTTAATAACAAAATAAAGACACCAGAAAAAAATTAAATTAAATATTTTATTTAACTTTTTGGAATAGATAAAGCACTCTCATGGTTTGAATATAAAAACTTTAGATACGAATACAATGAAGGGTCTTTCCCATGACCTCCATCCACAGATTTCTTATGCCTCAACAGTTTGTCCTAGTTTAATGCATATACAAGCCAATATATTATTCTGCAACATTTTCTCTTTAACAAAAAATTCTGGAGATTGTAATATTAAAACATAAAGATCTGTGTCTTCTTTTGTTAACAGCCACTTTTGAATGTATGGATTTATCATAATTTAACTAGTGGTCCTGAGGATGGATATTTAGGTTATTTCCAATCATTTGCTATTCTCAACAATACTATAAGATATACCTTATCATTTCTCATGTGTGGAAATACATCTGGAGGATAAATCCCTAGAAGTAAATTCAGAATATGTATGCATTTGTAATTTTGATAGGTACTGCCAAATTTCTGTTCCTCTAGAGCCTAGCCAAAGCAGGGATGCCAAACATAATTTTATGCCTTTTCATTTAGAAATACACAATGAAAAGTGGGTTACCTATTAAAGAATTAGAAAGCAGGGCATACCCAGCAATTTACAGAGTATGTTTTCACTCAAAAATACATTCAACGGAAATTTATTGTGCTTTTAGGCGCTTTGGAGACACATACATACCTATATAAATACACACAAATCAAACTCAAACCTCTGCCTTTGTGGCGCTTACATTTGAATTCCACACTTTGGAACTCTATGCTACCTCATTAGAAGCCAGTTAAATGTCAATATCCTGAAAATGATCTGTTGAGATCCTGAGCACAGGCGCCAGACATATGCTACTGGTGTTATTTAAAAACTAACTAGAGGCAGTGTTGCAAATGATTTCATAGCTCTCCATCAGGTCCTTTTCAAACAACACACTTGGGTGAGAGCTCTTTTATTCTGACTCCATCTGCTGTTGGTAGTGATCAGCATACTGTGGGCATTGTGGTATCATCCGAGATTATGTTGTGAAATAGGAAGTAGGGTTACACGCAGATCAGCAAGTATATGCAAACTGTTCAGTTCTATCTCTTGCTGAAACCAAGGGTGCCCAGTTCAGGTTTGGGGAGTAGGGAAGATAAAGTTATCAGCACATTCCCGTCAGGGCAGTTTCCTTTTCACAGTCGTTCCTTGTTTTGGTTCTAGAAAGAGATCACGAGAAACTCTATGGCAAATAGTTTCAGAAGCATACAGCAGCAATACTCCGTATGCTGAACAAGGGCAGAGAAAAGGGAACATGTTAGAAACTGAGGAAGACAGAAAAAACCATCGGTGCCAAGGGAAGGGTGGTAAGAAGTGCAATGAGTGCAATAGAGACAGTATGGTCTCAGGCTTTTTCTTTTTTTTTTTTTTAAAGTATCTTTCCTTTCTAAAAGGAAAATATTTTAAACTTTAGCGCCGCCCAGTACAAAAACTACAGCTCTTAAAATCTTGCCAATATCCCAGGGGTTCTTTGCAGCCATTAAAAAACAACAGGGAGTTCACCTATGAGGACACCAGACAATGGGGGCATCTTTAAGTATGAGGTGAACAAGAGAAAGGGGCCAATTCCAGAGAGTGGCTCCCCAACCATACTCTGCCTTTTTTTTTAATTTTTAATTTTTTAAAATTCTGGTATCATTAAAATTTCATTTGGCACCATAATAGGCAGACTCAACAATTGGTTACTGAATGACTGGTTTCTTATGACCTAATACTTGAGTTAGTTTTCCTCACAGTCATTAAATTTAGGGCTAGAAGAAGGAGGAGCTTTTTGGTTCAGTCAACACACTCCTTTGACAGCTGAGGTCGAGAAGTCACAAAGGCAGAAGCTAGGTATCTTTTCCAGATTCTCAGTCCAGTACCACTGCTGCCATAGGATCACCCTCACATGAGAAACCTTTAATGCCTCTGACTTCTGGATTCTGTGCTGCCAAACTGCAAACGCTGCAGACTGTGATGACTTTGGCCAATGACACTGTGGCCCCGGGGCTTTACACACAGCAGGCCCCGTGCGCAGCTTAATGAGTGGTTATGCTGCTTTGGAGCAGCAAGATCACGGAGCGGCCGCTCCTGGGTTCCCCAGGGCCTTCGTCAGCCCTGAGGGTGCACAGCTGGTCAAGCAATCCGCCCTGGTGGCCCCGGCGCAGGACAGCTCGGCATGGCCCCAGTAAATGGACTCAGAGTCTCCAGAGTTCCATTTCGTCCCCTTGAGTGGCGTGTGGCACTTTTTCCGAGTCTCCCCGCGGGATTTCCAGGGCCGTGAACGACTGACCTACGTCTGGCAGCAGCTCCCAGCAGGCCAGTGGGCCAAGAAAAGGAAAGGGCAAGGCCCACCGCCCCTCCTTCCCTGGGCTCCGTTCCTGTCACCCTACTGCTCGGTCCGTTTCCTGTTCGCCCTTCCCTCGTTATCGCCCCAGCGTTTTCTCTCCACGCTTCCCACTTCATGTTTACAAACTGCTTACGCCCACTTGGCGGGCAGCAACCTCGCCAGCCCGAATCCCTCATCCAGTCCCTCCACCTCCCCCCGCCCCCTCCTTCTCCCGGATCCACCTCCGCGGATTCACCCCGCGCCCGCCCGGGTCATCACGTGAACTTCGTCCCGCCCCCTACCGTCACGTGAGCAGCCAGCCCCGCCCCGCCCCCGCGCCGGCGCGCTCCGACGTGCCCTGGAACTTACCCTCCCTCGGAGACCAGCCTGCTGGGACCGGCCGGCCGCGGCCGCCGCGGTGTGAGCGCCCTTCAGGCTCGCCTCGGCGTCCCGCAGACCCCCTGTTAGTACAAGAGGGAGCTGCCTCCTGCGAGGCCGCCGTGCTCTCGGTAAGGTGGCGGGACGCGGGTCCCCGTGGACCGAGGGCAGTTTGGTGAGGTGCTGCACAAAGGCGTCCGCGGCCGGGGCCGTGCCCGCCGAGGGCGGCGGAGTTAGGGGGAGGTGTGTGCGGGAGGCGCGTCGGCGCCGAGGTACGCGCGAGGTGCGGCCGGGAGCTGCGCGGGAGGGGTCGGGGCGCAGGGTGCAGGGTGGGCGCGGGGGGAAGGGGAGCCTTTGCCAGCCCATTGGCTGACGTGGGCGAGAGGGTTTAAATGGCTCGAAGTTGTGGCTCCTCTGCCCCCCGGGTTTCCTGACTTCCTGTGTGAGGGCAGCGCCCGCCCGCCCCGCCCCTAGGAAGGAGGGCGTCGGTGTGTGTGTGTGTGTGTGTGTATGTATGTACGTATGTGTAAAAGGCAGGCAGGCTGGCTAGTGCCGCCCTCTTTCCTCGCCTTCTGCAGCTGCGTGTGCCCGCTCTCTGCTGTGGGGTGTGCAAACCTCCGGCCCCCCAGGGAGCCCACCTGGGGCCTCCCCTCGAGCACTGCTGACCTTAAACTGGTACTTTAGTCTCTGCAGTGTTTAGAGGTGCCCCGCCCCTGTTGAATGGACACTTGCTACTCTAGCTCTTCAGGGAGCAATCTCCTCAAAGTCCTTGAATTAAAAAAAAAATACTCTTTACAAGCGTGCTGCCCTCCTCCCATTTCAGCGTAGATTGTCTTCCAAGAATGGCTGTCCTTTACGTGTTGTATCTTAAGTTACTGCAGACCCTCCGAGAAGAAATGTCTGCAGGGTCATCGTTACAGAAAAACGCACGGCCTTCAGTTTCAGAGGCTTGTGATGTTTTCCTTCGACCGCAGCAGCAGTTATAAATGCATTTGCAAAGGTTAAAGCAAAATGCTTAAAAGCATACCTTTAGGAAAGTTCTAATGTCATTCCAAGTGAAGTGTTTATGATGGGTAAAGGCAGCTAACGCTAGAATTGTTTTATGGCTAATTATGACACACGAGAGCAGCTTTTATCGAATATTTATGCACATATTCCAAAGGGAAGGAAATGTGGAGGAAGGCGCATCAAGTGAGGAGTCACTCGGCTTCTGGTTCAGATTCTGCCCCACTTCCGAAGGTGAGACCTCGGAAGACTGTGTTGGAGTGGAAGGTTGTTAAAAAGTATCTAGCCCCTAGCCACGCCTGTTTTGTACTGAAAACTTGGGAAACGATGGCCTAGAGCTGTATTTCCTAGATCCTAGATCCAGTGTTCCTTGCCTGATCTATAGGAAGGTGTGTTACAGAGTGGGTCATCTTTCTGTACCTTCTTTGTCTGAGTAGACATTCCGGCTGCTGGTGCTAGTAATTTTCTCTTTTCCTTTGTTTTGAAATGCCTTGAAAATGTTTCAGAAAAGGGATTTGAGAGCCCAGAGCCGTGCCTAAAAGTAGGATCTGAAAACTTAACCTTGAGCCATGCACCCTGAAGAGCCAGACAACCTGGACGCATATGTGTGACCTATGGGTCCATGTAGCTCTGCAGGTGTTTCTTCTTGGGGAAAAAATTAACTGTAATGAAACAGATTGTGTGTGTGTGTGTGTGTCTGTGTGTGTATGCCCAGTATTTGTTGATAGGTTTCTCTTTGTACTTTATCAGCCATAAAAGTTGGAAAAGGTTGCTAACTCATTGATTCTTAATATGCTATTCGTAAAGATTAGTTATCCATATATAGTCAACATATATCTTTAAGTGTTTTTTTTTTACTTTACCAGTTGTGAGGCACAAGTGAAAACTTGTACTATAAATGCTATAGAAAAACAGCTTATTATTTGTAGCTAATCATTTGGTTTTCATTTCATTAATTATGAAGTCTCTGGTGCTTTTTTAAAATAGATGGATAGACCATGGGCTTTACAAATTTATGTACTTGAAGTTGTGCAGTTGACATTCCTGAGAGTAATAGGGTAATAAATTTTAAATTGACTGAAATGAAACAGTGAACATAGTGATGTGTAAAATCCTTATGTGGCACAACCAGTATTTTGCTTACCTGAGAAAATTGGTACTAAGAAAAGGTAACAAGGTGAATCTGCCCAAAATGGACATTACAGTTTTCTAGTAGTGGGAGAGAAAAGAGAAAGTAAATCTTAATCTTATAATAACATTTTTAGTTTTAATTGCAAATATGCACTGTTTTGTGGAATGAATCAGACATGAAAAAGTATGATGGTATCACATAGCATCATTGTATTTCAAATCATGCTTTTCAAATTACCCTCTTTTGAGGAACCCATTGGGCCACTATCTATGTGGTTTTTCTTTTCTTCAGCTGTTAAGTGGTCTAATTATGCCACATCCTCGGTTGTGGATGACTTTGCTGTGATTCAGCCATTTCCCTATTACTTTTATTGACCTAACATATCTTGCAGTTCAGTTTGCAGTTGATTAGCTTTTTATTTGAACCAAACTGCCAAATTCTGATGTGTCTAAGTATCCCTCCCCTGTTGTTAATTAGTGCCTCTCGAACTCTAATGTGTATGGGAATCACCTGAACTTCTAAGAAGCCCCCAGGTGATACCCTTGCTGCTGCTTTACTGCCCAGACCACAAACTACTGCAATCCAGTAGAAGTACAGTGCCAGTCACCTGTGTAACCTTATTTTATTTTTATTTTTATTTAAGTAATCTCTCCACCCAACATGGGTCTCAGACTCGACCCAGAGATCAAGAGTTGCATGCTCCTCCGACTGAGCCAGCCAGGTGCCCCTCACCTGTGTGATTTTAAAGCTTTTTAGTACTCACATGGTAAAAAGTAAAAATGGGGGAGAAAAACCCAAGTAAAATAAATTTTTTTTATCATCTCATCATGTAATCAGCATGATTCTTTTATTCAGACTAAGTCTTCAAATCTTCAGTGTATTTTACGTATACAGGGCATCTCAGTTTAGATTAGCCACACTTAAAATGCTCAGTAGCCACATTTGGCTAGTGGCCACTGTGTTGAACATCACTTCTGGAGTCTAGAATCTAGACCAGAGCTGTTCTCCGTGTATTTTTAGATTGGCCCCACCAGCATCCTTTGGGAACTTGTTAGAAATACAAATTTTTGGGCCCCACCTCATACTGCTCTCATTAGGAATGTCTGGGTTTCAGTAACTTGTGTTTTAAAAACTGTAGGATGTGACTACAAAATATATATGTGGTATTCTGGATGGGATTCTAGAACAGAAGAAGTCCATTGGGGAAAACTAAGGAAGTCTGAATAGAGCGTGGCTGTTACTATGTATCAGTATTGGTTCACGGAATATGACAAATGTACCATACTAACATCAGATGTTAATGGTAGGAGACACTGTATATAGGATCTATGGGAACTCTCTGTGCTATCTTTGCAATAATTCTTTAAATCTAGAGCTCATCTAAAAAAGTTTTGTTTTTTTAGAGAAGCTCTCCAGGTGATTCTGCTCACTAAAAGTTTGAGAAGCCCTGCTCTAGATCACTGATACAACCTACACTGTTGCACCTTGGACGGGTGGGATGGCTGCTAGATTTAGGTTTGGTAGGGTAAAAATAATAGTATTTTGTTAGAAGAGCTAAAATCTGTAAAGCATTATACCAAGTGCTTTACACATATTTACTCATTTCAGTATGTGGTATCTACTGTTAATAAGCTCCATTTTACAAATGGAAGAAAACGAGGCTCAGAGAGGTTAAGTGACTTGTCTTAGATCACATAGCTAGGAGGAGGCAGAGGCACGTGCGTTTGAGGAGGGACTGATTTTATAAGCCATCAGTTAATTTGTCAGTATTTTTCTAGTCACAACTTTTTTTTTTAAAGATTGATTGATTTATTTTAGAGGGAGAAGGAGAGAGAGCAAGCACGCGTGCACCGGGGAGGGGCAGAGGGAGAGAGCGAGTCTGAAGCAGACTCTGCGCTGAGTGTGGAGCCCGTCGTGGGCTGACGACCTGAGCTGACGACCTGAGCTGAAACCAAGAGTTGGACACTAACCGACTTCTCCACCCAGGCGCCTCCGAAACTCTTGCTTTTTTTGAGTAAGCAGTGATTAGTGTGGATACTTTGTATCATGCCTTATAGTTTACAGAATACTTTTTCTCTTTTCCATTCTCACAAGAATCTTTTGAGATTTGTATTGTTTTACAGGTAAGTTAAGGTACTCAGAATCTGAGCACCAAAAAATGGCCAATTGTAATATTGTAACAGGCCTCCAACCCTGAGTTCTGTGCCACAGAAGAGTTTAGAATATATTTTGCAGTTAGAGTGGTATCTTTAAAAGTTTGCTGAAAATTCCAATATTTTACTATATATTACTGGTTTGTTCAAAAAATCAGTTTTATTGAGATATAATATGTGTGCACTAATATACAGTAACACTCGACAATAGAAAGGAGTGAACTACAGATACATACAACAACATGGATGAATCTCAAAAGTGTTGTTCTAAGTGAAACAAGCCAGATATAGAAGGCTCATCCTGTATGATTTGTGGGTACCTTCCTATCACCACTTTACTTCCTTTAGTAAGCAGTGATTAATGTGAAGCTCTGTGTCATGCTTTATAGTTTACTAAGTACTTTTTCACATTTTCTCTCTCCATTCTCACAAGGATCTCTCTTAAAAAAATTTTTTTGAGTATAATTGACACACAGTTACATTAGTTTCAGGTGTACAACAGCATTTCAACATTCTCTATTCCTTATGCTGTGCTCCCCACAAGTGTAGCTACCATCTGTCACCATACAACACTATTGCAGTATTATTGACTACATGCCTTATGCTGTGTCTTTTATTCCCATGACCTGTTCATTCCATAACTGGAAGCTTGTATCTCCAAGTCTCTTTCACCCATTTTGTCCATCCCCTTCTGCTCCCCCTCCAACCCTTTCCCAGGATCTCTTAAGGTTTGTATTCTTTACTGTTTTACAGATGGATGTACAATTCGTTTAGGCATTCATTAGTTGATAGGCCTTTGAGTTGTTTCCAGTTTCTGGCACTTAATTCTGGCACTTAAGAA